CCCCCCCCCTCCCTCATAGTTCTCCTTTAATCAATAAACAAAAGCGGAATTAGAATTTTCCTTACCGATCATAATGAACTGAGAATCCGGCGTGAACGAGGACTCCAGTGTGACGGCTTTGGTGTTGTTGTATCCCTGACAGACAGATAAAGAAACATAAGTTATAGGAACATATCCTCCGATCAGATTTCTTCCCTCTTATAATAAAGCCGGACTCACCCCAAAGGTGTGCAGCACCGCCCCTTTAAATGCATCGATCAGCCGCAGGAAACCGCCGTTTGTGGAGATGAGGATCAGTTTCCCGTCGTTGCTGAATTTCAGAGACGTCCACTCACAAGTGCGGTCGTAGTTCATTTTGAAGGTGGCGAAAGGGCCCTGAGAGAGAGAGAGATCACAGCGCGGACCATCAGATACAATTTATAGTTTATATTAAAAAAGGAGAACTATAGGGGGCGGGCTTTTCCCCATAGTTCTCCTCAGGGTCACGGGAGGACGTATACTAGCCTCCTCCTGTGATCCAAAGCTCAGTATATAGGGAGCTACAGCTCGCGGTATACTGAGACCGCCGCAGCCGGGGCGGATCCCGACATTACTGTCTGGATCCGCCCAGCTGCGTGAGTGACAGCTGGCTCTGCCTATCTAGAACCAGAGGTACCCGCCCCCTCCCCCGTCCGTTCCGCCAGCCAGCGCTGGAGGAATCCCTGCGGGGAGCCGTGAGTGACAGTCACGGCTCTCTGCAGGGAGATGATCAAGAAGTGAGCGAGCGGCGGTATGTGTTCCCTCACTTCCCGATCTATTGAGCCGACCTGTGACAGTTTCATTGCCACACGTCGGCTCCAACTGTGATGGGTTATAAAAAGGTTTGCCCGGATTTGTAGTTTCACCACAGCTGGAGGGCCGGAGTTTGGCTACCCCTGCTGTAAACAAAGGATGAACATAGGAAGTATTCTGGCGGCTTTATAACATGTAACACGCGGCTACACAGGAGGTAACAAGCGGCTACACAGGAGGTAACACGCGGCTACACAGGAGGTAACACGCGGCTACACAGGAGGTAACACGCGGCTACATAGGAAGTTACATGCGGCTACATAGGAAGTAACATGCGGCTACACAGGAGGTAACACGCGGCTACATAGGAGGTAACACGCGGCTACATAGGAAGTAACACGTGGCTACATAGGAAGTTACATGCGGCTACACAGGAAGTTACATGCGGCTACACAGGAGGTAACATGCGGCTACATGGGAGGTAACATGCGGCTACATAGGAAGTAACATGCGGCTACATAGGAAGTAACATGCGGCTACATAGGAAGTAACATGCAGCTACAGATGTTACCTTGTCAAAAGAGCGAAGATCGTACAACTTCACCATCTCCGAATTCACTCCGGCTGCAAAGATCAGACCCTCGGGGTCAAACGAGCACACAGGCTTTCCCTGGAGGTGCATCAGACCCTGCTCAGAGGAGAGAAGAACACCGATTAACATACCATGACCCCCAATGACATCATAACAGGACATGGCGAGGAGGGGGGGGAGGTCACCTACCTGGCAGTTAGGAGAACGAAGGTCCCACAATCGGATCGTCTTATCTAGGGAGCCGGAGATAAAGGCATCGTCCACGGGGGACATAGACAAGGCCACCACCCTGCGCATAGGAACAGAGCACACTCAGCAACACTATTATTATCATACAGGATTTATAGAGCGCCAACAGTGTGCGCAGCGCTTTACAATGTAAGGAAGACATTATAATCACAATACAACTCAAGATGGTAAGGAGAGCCGCGCCCCTGAGGGCGTACAATCTAAAAGGGAGGGGCCAGTGATAAATAATGTATCTAGGTGAAGATCTCCCGACACTGCGGCGACAGAATTGTGCCAGATCGCAATTTGAACATGTGCGAGACCTGGTGTCACTTCATAGGGGGGGGGGGCGTAGAGAGAACCAGAAGAGACCGCTGGGTTTTAAGAGGAAATAAAAAAAAAAAAAAAAAGAAGATGGAAGCACTGGATTGGAAAGTCCTGCAGAACAGCAACAGGAGAAGGGAAGCTGTGGAGGCGAGTGTTGGAAAAACACAGGATTCCCCGGGCTTGTAAGTACCCTGTTCCCCCGAAAATAAGACCTGGTACTATTTTTTGGAATTGCTAAAATATAAGAACTAAAATAAGACCTAGTTGTGACCATTCCCAGGGCCGGTGCGAACGGTCACATAAGGGGGAACTTAAAGAGCAGAGCCGCATAAGCCGATGCCTCCTCTATAGCGCCCGCTCCTGTCACAGGCGGAGTGATAACGTGTTTCCCCGAAAATAAGACCTAGTTGTGACCATTCCCAGGGCCGGTGCGAACGGTCACATAAGGGGGAACTTAAAGAGCAGAGCCGCATAAGCCGATGCCTCCTCTATAGCGCCCGCTCCTGTCACAGGCGGAGTGATAACGTGTTTCCCCGAAAATAAGACCTAGTTGTGACCATTCCCAGGGCCGGTGCGAACGGTCACATAAGGGGGAACTTAAAGAGCAGAGCCGCATAAGCCGATGCCTCCTCTATAGCGCCCGCTCCTGTCACAGGCGGAGTGATAACGTGTTTCCCCGAAAATAAGACCTAGTTGTGACCATTCCCAGGGCCGGTGCGAACGGTCACATAAGGGGGAACTTAAAGAGCAGAGCCGCATAAGCCGATGCCTCCTCTATAGCGCCCGCTCCTGTCACAGGCGGAGTGATAACGTGTTTCCCCGAAAATAAGACCTAGTTGTGACCATTCCCAGGGCCGGTGCGAACGGTCACATAAGGGGGAACTTAAAGAGCAGAGCCGCATAAGCCGATGCCTCCTCTATAGCGCCCGCTCCTGTCACAGGCGGAGTGATAACGTGTTTCCCCGAAAATAAGACCTAGTTGTGACCATTCCCAGGGCCGGTGCGAACGGTCACATAAGGGGGAACTTAAAGAGCAGAGCCGCATAAGCCGATGCCTCCTCTATAGCGCCCGCTCCTGTCACAGGCGGAGTGATAACGTGTTTCCCCGAAAATAAGACACTGTCTTATTTTCAGGGAAACGCGGCATATTCATCCCGCATTAACGAGCATCAAATGTAAGCAGTATATGAGGAATATTTATTCCTGGGCAATGGGGAACATCTTCTCCAAACTGTTACAATTAGGGATGCACCGATATCGGTATTTCGGTATCGAGCACGAATACCGATATTTTTTTATTTTGTTCCCGGTACTCGCCGATACAGAGTACCGGAAGTGCCATTCAGGAAGCCAGGCGGCGTGTAATGACTCGCTACCCAGCGTACCGATTAGCAGGGAAGCCGTCCACATGCTTCTCATCCCTAGGCGACGAGAAAGCATGGAGCCGGCTTTCTGGCCAATCGGAAAACCGGGCGCCGCGTCATTACACGATTGCCTGGCTTCCTGATTGGCCAGCTACCAACCAAATCAGGAAGCTAGGCAGAGAGTCCAGCTGCCCGGGCTTCCTGATTGGCCGGGAAGCGGGCTCCATGCTCGCTCGCCACAAGTGACGGGAAAGCATGGAGCCGGCTTACCCGGCCAATCGGGAAGCCAGGCAGCGTGTAATGACACGCTGCCGGCTTTCTGATACCGTAAGAATCGGAGCATTGGGGCGAGGACGAGTACTCGCCCAAATACTCAACATTGGCGCCGATACTACAATCAGTGCATCCCTAGTTACTATGACTAAAAGTGACAGGGAAATACGAACTAGCATCACAAGGCAACAGTGCAGATCACCGGCCTCTCTTAATAGTAGCTTGTAAGCCTTCAAGGTCTCAGCTCCCGAATCGCCCTCCGCTTCCCCTAATCCAATGCAGGCGCCCGCAAAGCATTATGGGAATCGGAGGGGGCGTGTCCAAGATCCAACTTGGAGATACATTGTTGTAGGATATGTACTGGGGACTTCTGGTGCCTAATAATTTGTGAATACTTCCATGCATATCATAGTTACGTAGTATTTGAGGTTAAAGACACAGGTCCATCAAGTTCAACCTTTGTGTGTGTGATTGTGCGTGTGCGTACGCGAGTCCGTGTGTGATTGTGCATGTGCGTACACGAGTCCCCGTGTGTGATTGTGCATCTGCGTACACGAGTCCCAGTGTGTGATTGTGCATGTGCGTACACGAGTGCCTGTGTGTGATTGTGCATGTGCGTACACGAGTCCCTGTGTGTGATTGTGCATGTGTGTGCGCGTACACGAGTCCGTGTGTGATTGTGCATGTGTGTGTGCGTACACGAGTCCCTGTGTGTGATTGTGCATCTGTGCATGTGCGTACACGAGTCCCTGTGTGTGATTGTGCATGTGCGTACAAGAGTCCCTGTATGCGATTGTGCATGTGTGTGCGCGTACACGAGTCCGTGTGTGATTGTGCATGTGCGTACACGAGGACGTGTGTGTGATTGTGCATGTGTGTGCGCGTACACGAGTCCCCGTGTGTGATTGTGCATGTGCGTACACGAATACCCTGCGGTCTCCGAGGAATGCATCTAAATGTTTTTGAATGATTCCACACTCTCAGCCGATACCACTGCTTGTGGCGGAGAGTTCCAGACCCTGACCGCTCTGACTGTGAAGAAGCCCCTACGCCCCTTGTGCTTATGGGGGGGGGGGGGGTGGCCTCTAGTCCTTGTTATGGAGTTTACTGTAACAAGTTTATTGCTGATTATTTTGTACATCAAAATCATGTCCACTCCTAATCTCCTCACTTAACCAGATAGAAATGTTTTCGTTTTCTTCACTCACCTTTTGCTGTGACCCGGGAAATAACGGATATATTTATTATCGTGCAGAGAAAGATACCGGATTGTATCTGAAGGGAGAGAAACACGTCAGTTGCGAGCGACACAGAATGATTACGCATGCAGGTCACATATTAACTTACACTTAATAAAAGGTTTACATGCACACAGACGGGTCACCGTAGACAAGGGATGTCAAAACTCCGCCCCTCCAGCTGTGGGGTGGAACTACGAATCCCATGAGGCATTGCAAGATTCTCACAGCCACGACTCCCGGAGAGAGATGCTTCATGGGATCTGTAGTTTCACCAACAGCTGGAGGGACGGAGTTTGGACATCCCCGCCTCAGACCACCTCTGCCGGTTTATAGGTCATCACCAATCTTTTAGGCCAACAGACGCCCAGATTCTGAACACTCGGGATGAGCGAAGAAAAAATCAGAACTTTCCAGAACCTTCTAAGAATGTTTGTATAATCCTCAGCGGGACACAGCCGCTACCACCATCACTATGCACAGCCAAACCTTACAGACTGAGTTTTAGGTTAATTGTATACAGAGCTCAGAATACATTACCAAAACCCAGGAGGGGGATGGGTGTGCGGATCCTGAGCAGGAGACGAGTGCTGACAGTGCCATGTCCTAGGCAAGGCAGTAGCCTGTACAGTTATCTCCAACTGAGGGTGGTGTCACAGACCCTTAAACTGTACAAACAACTACCTCAGCCCAGATCCAAGCCTTCCCGTCCGGACATCTCTTCACGGAATATTCCGAGGACAATCAACGCCGACGTGAGATAATCGCCTCAAACAAAAATCACTTTAAAGAAAAGACAGCGGGGTCCTCTGATCACAGCGACATACCATCGATTTTGTTGGAGCTGTACACCACGGTGTTGGCTGCGTGCGTGTATCTGATGAGATCCACTCCGTACTTCTTACTGTACAACGTCCTCTTGGGCCTGTCAAGATAGAAGAGAATGTGAATTGTCATGGAATTCTGCTGCCAGGCAAACGTTCAGCCTCCCACAGCAAGTGAAGATGGTGCTAACTGGTTCAGCACTCGCCCCTGTACACCCCTCGTGAGTAAAAACCTCACAAAAAGCCAAAAACACTTTTTCCCGCTAAAAAAATAGGAACTGTAAATATAAAGTATATTCTATGTTATAATGGGTCTGGTTTAAAATGACAGCGAAGTGAAAGGAGAGGTAATTAGGGGAGCACAAAGGGATCAAATACACAACAACAAAAACTCTTTACTTGTCAGTTTCCTTTATCTGATATATGCAGATTGATCAGCCGATGAATGAAAGAGTAGATACAAAGTTACTCTATCTCCCTCTGATCAATGTTTATATACAATGTTACTTTGTATCTCTCTATCTCCCTCTGATCAATGTTTATAAACAATGTTACTTTGTATCTCTCTATCTCCCCCTGATCAATGTTTATAAACAATGTTACTTTGTATCTCTCTATCTCCCTCTGATCAATGTTTAGAAACAATGTTACTTTGCATCTCTCTCTTATCAATGTGTATTATGCACTATGTAACCTTCATATGACTACATACGGGGTGCAGTATATGACATGTATAATGGAGTCGGTGTAGAGCAATATGAAAGCACACAAGATCCCATGTGAGCTGTAAGGTCTGCCACGGCCAAACACACATCAGCCCCCAGCAAGAAACAAGTGAAAGTTGTAGAACCCGGCTGAGACGCCTCAATCAAATCAGAGGCTCAGACTTTACTGTTGCTAGGGGCGTTTCTCTGCAACTAGGCAACCGGAGTGCATGACAACGCCATGCATCGTGTATTTCCACACGCTCCCAGTGCCTTCTATGGACTGTAGATGACAAAAACGTACCAGAAGTATATTCCAAGATGCAAAATCCAATCCAGGCTCCGTGCGCCAATCGGTTTTCTTCTTCTGAACCGCAACAAGCTTTATTGAGACCAGATGGGTCAGTCAGACACTCCCTCCCCGGTCAGATGCGGTACCCTGCCTGATGTGGTCTAATAGGGACTTGTAGGTGAAAGATGCCAGGGGAGGAGTAAACTCTGAAAGGGGAGAGAATGTCTGTCTTATCTGCTGTCAGTTAAGCTTGTTGCGGTTCAGAAAACAAAAAGTGGGCGTGACTTATAACACACGTGTGTGAGAACCAGACCTCCAAGTACAGCAGGACCCCAGCT